CTCCAGCGAGAGAGGCCGTGCTGGGGAATGCTGGGATTGGAAGTCTGGACATCTTCAAGTTGCCAAGGTTGAGAAACACTGAACTAGAGAATTGGAACTGCAGATAGAACTCGGCTGTCTCATTGCTCCGATTTTCACCCGTTCGGCCAGCTCTGAAGGGGGAGTCCTAAGCAATCGGAATAGGATGTAGACCTATCTTGAGATTCCCCAACATTCACGCTTATTCCAGATGTGAATATTGCATCTTTCCTTACAGAGTCCTCCCAGAAGTCAGAAAGGCTAGTAGCAGAAGAATCTTTCACCCAGATACAATCATCACAAGTTAACTTCAAATCTCCTGGGAGAGAGGTAGCATTTTAGTTGAATGTGTGGGAGATAGAGAGGTGATTGGAGAACTTCCCCAGTTCGATGTATATTTCTGTACAGAAGGTGAAAACAGGGCTGGAGTCATATACTTTTTACCTTCCTAAAGCTTTTAAAGCTACCAGAAAAACGCGCTCTGGCTTTTATAGCGGTTATTTTCAGAAAATTGTAATAATTATAGGCACAGCGGTACTTCATTGGCACTTGGATGATTTATTATTTGTTTCTTTTTAAGAGTCTCAGAAGCTATATTTTTATAATTTTGTTTTTGTTCAAATGTAGTTTATGCAGGAGCCCGAGGTTTTCAAATTTGCTTTGTGCGGTTGTGTTCTCCTGTCAATGCTAAACTGTAGCAATAAAGTCGTCTCAACTCTTAGGTTCTTGAGTTAAAAAATATTTTTATATAAATATATAGATATATAAATATAAATATATGCACAGTGCCTGTATGTATAAATACATGGATGTTTGAAAATTGTATTGTTGAAAAGTTTAAATAAAGGTGTAAATAAGATATACCCATTGGCAAGTTCTGTGAGATATTTTAATATACATTGAATCCAAGCTACAGATTCTGCACAATTAAATAAAATAAATAAGGGTACCTCATCAACAGCCACCTGTTGGCACAGATTGTGGTAACTTACAAGTTTCATGAGCTGTTTCAGAGTATCTGGGGAAGGACGGAAGTCGATATCAGAGGTAGGTTGCTCCCTGTTCGGCCAAACCAGTAGGGGCGGCGGCAGGAGGCTCCACCCACCCAGACACTTCTGCACATGCGCAGAAGTGTTGTGAGAGAGAGGGAGTGTGCGCGCATGAGAGAACTGGTAGTAAAAACGGTACAAAGCCACCATTGGTCAACATATACCTGCTTTGGATTGTGAATATAGATAACTTACCAATAATTCACAAATGACATGAATTACGCAATTTGTGGTATGTGTGACAACACCAGGGGATGACTGAATGTTTCTACCAAACACTTGTAATGACAATTACGTCAGAGGAACATAGTTGGGGAACTCATCAAGTTTGCAGATGACACCAAGATGGCAGGAATAGCCAACACTCCAGAAGGCAGGCTTAAGATACAGAAGGATCTTGACAAACTTGAACATTGGGCCCTATCGAACAAATTGAAATTCAATGTAGAGAAAAGAGTCAGGTTCTACATTTAGGCAAGAAAAAACAAATGCACAGGTACAGTATAGGTGGTACCTTGCTCAATAGTAATAACTGAGAGGGATCTTGGAGTCCTAGTGTACAACCATTTAAATAGGAGCCAGCTGTGTGCAGCAGCTGTCAAAAAAACCCAACACAGTTCTAGGCTGCAAAAACAGAGGGATAGAATCAAGATCCCGTGAAGTGTTAATACCACTTTGTAAGGCCACACTTGGAAAACTGCTTTCAGTTGTGGTCACCACGATGTAGAAAAGATGTGGAGACTCTAGAAAGAGTGCAGAGACAAGCAACAAAGATGATTAGGGGACTGGAGACTAAAATATGAAGAACGGTTCCAGGAACTGGGTATGTCTAGTTTAATGAAAAGA